TTTTAAATTTAGCTTGAGAGCTTGTAAGTCCGACTTAGGGTGGTCTGGGCTCCAGTTCTTGTGCAGTTTACTGATTTTTCAAGTTTATAGGATGTAGAAAAAGACCTATGTCGCAAAAACTGCATCATCTTGAAATCTGCATCCTGGAACATGTCGCTGTACCAGGTATTTGTGTTCTAAACTCTTTTGCTAATAGATTTTACCCAAAATTTTGTCTGTAATTAACAAGACTTGATCAGAAATGTTGTTGAGTTATAATCAGACAATAAGAAACCCGTTAAGATCTTATATGGGCTTTTTTGTAAATTGATTTATACCATTTTGCATTTATCGGAAATTAACTTTTATAGGAGTTTATACTTTCGAAAACCGTGCCCCGTAAGAGTAATTGAAGGAATTCGCTTTTCATTTTTTCTTAATGTTTCGCTTATTTTACTATGCTTTAAGAGTTGTAAGCAGGAACAGTTGTAGTGCGAACTAAAAGCAAGAACTTACTTAGTAGGCTAGGCCAGGCTGTATAATCACTAAACATTCTACAAAATAAGACGCGAAGAAATTGGCAGAATGTCGAGGTAAATGGCGCCAATCTATTCTAATTTCCTAATAGTATTTTTTGCGATTACTTTCCTGAGGTAGTAGACATGAGCTATTTTTATATAATTTCAATTAGTAAAGGTAATGACGCAGTTGGTTTTTTTAAAAATATCTCGTCTTGCATCGTAAGTTATAAACACACAGTTATGGGAGTTTGATGGCCGTCATTTTCATTGAGAGAATGAATTTTTAACTCAACACAGAAGTAGACGAATCACATCCTCTAATCTTGTTGTTGTGGGTGTATCCTCATACATATCTAATGGAAAGCTGCTTTCTTCCATCCTTAGAGTTAGAAGAGGACTTAGTGAGCTGTTGTATTCTACTATTCTTTCTTATTCTTTTGATTATAAGTTTTTCTTTTATATCCTTTTTCACTTACTCTCTCTTATTTCTATTATTAATTCTTTTTATCTGTTTATTTTAGTTTTATAGGGTTCTTTCTTGATGGGTTGTTCACGATCAAAGACCGCAGACCGCAATGAGTGAGAACAAGAATTTTGTTAGGAAGTATTTCGGAGAAGAGGGGAGAAATCTCTTGTTCGTAGGCAATATAAGATGAACTGATTAGGCATCAGAGCTACTTTTGAAACTTAAAGGACACAGTAAAGTTTTCTTACCATCATTTGGTTATAGGATCAATCAGTAATTAATTAACTATTGTGACATTAAGACAATTCCTCTGTGAATTTCAAGAGTAATGCCGGATCATAAAATTAAATATTATGTTTACAAAGAAATGTTGCCCAAGTGTTCGCGGTAAAGGGATAGTCTAGTTCTCTGTACAGTGACAGTTCCAGTTCAGACTTCGTTATCACTTTATCCGTGGATTTCTGGAAGTGAGCGGAACGTTAGCTGACAAAAACAAAAAATTTTCATTTTGCGCACCCCTCCCTCCTCTTTCTTCAAAAAAAATTTCCCTCCATCTATGACCTTACTGGCTGAGCACTAAAACTGCATCTCTTTTTCTTTCCGAAAATGAAATTCTT